ATCTAACAAACTTGATCACCTTGACCCAACATTTCGCTTGTAACATATTGAGCGTTTTGTTCTGATGAATTGCATAACACTTCCAAAGCTTCCAAAGCCAGTTTGAGCCAAAGTTTCACTATTCGTTCAGTTCAGAATGAGCTGCACCCTTATCTGAGATGAAGAGTGAAACGCAAGAAATTTTTTCTCACTGTATTCCCAGTGCTCCTTAATGTGAGGGATTTCCCCAGTTAGTCAATATAAAGCGCAAAAACCTTCAAGGCACATTCTATGAAAAGGCAAAGTAAACACATTCATCAAGGATTCGAGATATAATGTCGCTCTATAGGCCCACCACCCCCCAAGTAAACCAAAGCAACGGATTAACAGCTTGGTTCGATTATCGGTTCGACAAGTGGCATATAACACAAAGGGAAAGCCCTTTCGTATCTTTGTACTCAGAATCGTTCAGCAGATGTGGAATGCAGATTCAAAATTACAGTTTGGAATAACGCTTAGTGTGGTATACATCTCATCTGAACAGTCACTTCGACCAAATCCTTCCTTCAGGTGAAAGTTACAGTAAACAGCTTATCACAAGCTTCACACCAACCCTATACATAATCGGCTGCGTGAAGGATGGATCATCCAACTCATTATGTCCCCATCGACGATAGCAAACCATATTAATGAAAACATCTTTCCGGAATTTCTCCCGATATGCCATTGCTAGCCGCGTGGCTTTGACGACATCCTGATTGAAAACCCAATTAAGGACGTTAGATGAAGCAAATGAATAATGCAAACAAATACGAACTTTACCTCAGGATGATCACCGTTAACATGGATGACTGGATATTCGAATGATTTGGCGATATCTAAAGAAAAAAACTCGTTACTCGAGGAGCTCAAACTTGAATTGGCAAAGATGTGATTTTGCCTTTTATTTTGTCCGCAGTGTGGCTAGGAGCGATCAGAATCAGAAATTTGCTGCCACCTTTCTTATATATTTTTTATGACCGTGAACATGAGACTACTAATCTAAGAGCGTCAGAAGTATAGCGCAGAAAAGACCTGATGTTGTTTGTCAAAATTTTTTCATGATTATGACCTTCTTCGTTCATAACGCAGCTTTTGCCTGGGGGCTAGTTGAAGTCGTATGATCAAGTTGAAGGAAAAAGACCCACAGTGCGAGGACTAACTGACTCAGCACTGACTAAGAATACTTTGCCCATTCATGATTAAGTGGCCAAAGTCCAAACGCACGTAGATTGAAGCTAGAAGTACGTTTACAACGACAGGATAAAAATCAGTCTTGGAGTTAATCGATCCCGTTTTAGGGTGCGCTCCCGCATTGGACTTTCTTTCGGAATCGTGAACGAGTGTGAACGAATTTTAGCTACATAATGACCTGCGGTGGCCAGTCGATGTACAATTCAGTGCATTTAACCTCCAAGATGAATCTGGCACCAATTAACCGATCTCAGAGGATCGGGAGGCCTGCATGACCTTGGGAGATACCTGTCCGGGATGCGGTCCTCGGACTATGCGTGTGTGTTAGTGCGCCACTCGCCTCTACAACACTTTCGCCTGCTCATAACGACAGAGGCTGCTTTCATAGTCCACAATTTGGCCCGCGAGCGAGCGATCGGGCGATCAGACAACGCTTCCCGCGGTATCGACCGAGATTCAGTTGTAAACAAGGGCCAAGCGTCGTCCCAAGCGCCCGATTGCGGGCCGAATTCTGGACTATGAAAGCAGCCAGAAAAAAATAAGATTGAGGAGAATTTAAAAAGCGTTCTTCGGGAAAAAAAATATAATATAAATAAAAATCAAAATCAAAACAATAATGAACATAAATAAAGAAAGTAGAGAAAACTAAGCTCTCAATGTTATCAGTTGAATCCGCAACGAGAATTCCGGTTCCGATGAAGACCATGAAGGCTTGTAACAAGGCAATAGAAGGAAAGGGATACTTCTGACGACTTTTGTAACTTGTTTTGTCGGTAATTCTTTGAGAAGATTCGTTTAGTGGCGAATTGCCCACTATCACACACGCATTTCACAAGTTACAAAGCCTTCCATCCCTTTGAATTCACTTACAAATCGTCTAAATACCCTTTCATGTTACATTTATCATCACTTCCTCATCCAACCCTTAATTTTACTACTTTTTTGACATTAGTCGTACTGTCAGAATCACTAACCGCTCGCTCTGATAAACGCTCGTGCTTTCACCTACAAAAGTCAGAATATTGCAAAACCCTTCCATAAATTCTCATAAATATAATTTTCTGACTCACCAGTGCAATGCATCGTCGACCGTCCAATGTGCGCTTCTGCAGTGAATGCCACTTGGTTGTTTGTAATCAGATGGATCGAGCCACCAAGACGGAAATGTGGTACTTGACTGAGCGAAATTGACTCCCAGACAATGCCCTGTGACAACCAGTAAATGAAGTCATTTACTGTGACGCATTAATTTCTTCAACTATGCTGCTATTATTATGAACCTGTCCTGTAAATGCTCCATCACCGTGTACAAGCACTGCCAGCACACCATCACCAGTTCTTGCTGAGCGATCCGTTGAGTAGTCTCCCACACCAAGAGTCCTAAACCAATCAAAGTTGCCTTTCATAATTGATACGCCATTCTCAATATGTAGTACATAAGTAGGTTTCAATGCAGGTTGACGATATCGCAGCAGCACCGGATAAAAGGTTTGTTTAGGATTGAAAGGCAGCAAAACGTCGCGGTTGAAAGATCTATGGCTCTGTTCATGTTTGTAGATGTCCATGTTGTGTATAAAATTCACTTAAGTATTCAATGGAGTAGTACCAGTAGAGTTCTCGGTGTTGCACTGATATCGGTAAAATCACCCTGATATCTCCCTCCCCC